CCATCCCAGCAGCTCTGCCGCGCCGCGAGAAGCCTCCCTGTTCGCTGTTCGCAGAGTTTTCCGGCGACTCCAAGTCCGTTCAGCACCTCGACAAGTGGACTCCGGCTGTGGCCGAGCAGCAGCGACCCTCCTCAGCCGCTGATCCTCCTCGAGTCGTCGAGCTCGTTCGTCGCCGCTAGCCACCGCAAATGGAGCCCGTCAATCTTACGTTCGTCCGTTTTCGTTCGATTCCCGAGAACGGTACAAAGGCTCGATCCCGTCTCGTTGAAATCGATTATGTTATTGATGAACATGTGTGATTTATGATTTGATATGCGGGATGTGTATATTGTGCGATTGTGTTCGATATAATTTGTGTGTTCGTTATGATTTTATGTGTTATCGTATGTTCGGGACCTCTTCGATTTTTTTTAAAGAATCGAACGAGACCTCGAAAGTCGTGTAAGTCAGTGGATATTAGAACAATGTCGAATCCTTGGTCTTATGAAAAGGCCTCGGACGAGAAATTTTATGTTAGGAATTAATTTACAAGTTGTCGAGCTTTTGAATCGCTGTTTTGGTGCTTGAATTTTTAAAAATAGCTCACTGCTCGAAACGATTTGAAATTTAGAGGGATATGTTATCTTTTTATTGCCTGCCTTGTGTAAAAATTTCGTAATTGTTAGAGGCCTGTAGCTATTTTTAATAATTAAAATGTAATCTGATCAGAATAGTATTAAATGCATAAAAAATTCATGCGTGAATGAAATGAGCTGAAATTCGAATATGTCATGCTTCTGTGACTTTTATATGTTGTGTTAAATTTGTAGAATATTTGGACTTGATTTGATGTGGTTAATACTTTATTTATCGAATCTGCAGAAACGTTGTTTGAATTTTTATAAATTGGTTACTTCATGAAAAATTATGAAATTTTACTGAGATGCCTATTTTTATGTGTTTAATCATGTTTGTAAAAGATGGGAATTTTTGGAGTCCATTTTTATTCGGTTTTGATTTAAATTCGATAAACTGCTGATGCTCGTATGAATTTTTAAAAATAGTAGCAGTCGACATTCTGAGCTGAGATTTTTATACATGGACTTTAGTATGCTGTAAGTTGTGGTGTAAGATTTTCAAGTTCTGATTCGTTCATTAAGTTCAAGTATGAATTGATGATCCCTTTTTGTCGATATCTTGTTCGAATTTTATAGAATAGTGTATTTCGAGTTTGAAGCTGAAAATTTGTGGTTTTACATGTTTCTGGGAGCCGTAATTTTGTGTAAAATTTTCAGAGCCTGACTCATAAGTTTGATATGCCTTCAAGTTCAAGTGGGAATTTGAGAAATTGTTTTTCTATGCTGAAAGTTGTTAAGTGTTGTTGACTAAATGTGCTACGTGTTTATTTGTGACCTGTTTGATTGGCATTCATTGGTGATTATGTGAAATTGAACGTGTGTTTTGATCGAGTCTAAGTCCTAGAGTTCCCATATCCACAGAACTTCATGAACCACTTGGTCGAACCGAGTTCGACTAAGTCAAATTGTGATTTTGCTAAATGGGTCTAGAGTAATTTTTGACTTTAGCACCTGGACTTATGTAGGTGTCTAGAGGTGTTGACCTTGCCTCACTTCGAGATTTGTGATTGTGATCTGTTGCTGAAATCAGGTGGGTACATTTATGATGTATTCCATATTTATCGCACTTATTATTTCGTGTAATGTTTCTTTTGAAAATTATTGTATGCATGAGAACTCTAGTCTAAGTGTCCCGAATGATAGTGCCTTTGATGAATGCGAAAGCAGTGGAAGTCGCCTGCCCGTTGTATCCGGGAGGTGGACGCCCGAATCCGTGTAGAGCGGAGGGGATTGTCTGATTTACTCGAATCCGTGTAGAGCGGAGGGGTAATTCAACTTCACTGTCTCCTGTAAAGGATCCCATGTACCGTCGTATCCGGGGGTGGGAAGGTTTCCAGTTACAGCCATGCCGTCGTATCCGGAAGGTTGTTGTATGTACATAGGAGGTTTGCGATAGGGCCGGGTAGGGGGTTTAGGCTATGAATTCTATGCATACGGATACTGATGTTGGTTTACTGTGATACTACTTTTAAAAATAATTATACGAGATAACTGTGCGATAATGGTGAGCTAGTTGGTTGCTCACCCCCATTATTTTCTTTGTTGTTTTCTCTCTTCCTTGTTTTAGGTTGAGACGAGCTGGAGGCGGTGGCGTAGAACGAGCGAGATGGTGGTCACTGTTTGATGATATATTATGCTTCCGCCTGTTTATGATTTGTTGAACTGAAACTTGACTTGAATTATATTCCCGCTTGGATTTGGATATTTTATTATGTGTTTATATCCCTGCTTGATTTCATATACTGATTATGTGTTGCGCATGAACTTGTTACTTAATCATTTGCTTTCATACTTTTGATTATTTATTTATTTGCCTTCGAACTATGTTTGAGTTTTCGTTTGAACCTGGATTCATGCTAGACGTTTGGGAATGATTTTGAGATTTATGTTTTATGCGATTGTTTATTTTGATAGCTCAAGCATGTGTAGGTTCTTTGGTTTGATTGATTGGACGTGTTCATTTGCTGTGGTTAATAAGTAGCGCCCGTTTCTCGATAAATGTTTTTAAATTAGATTTAGAAATAAAAATAACTCTGATTTTTATTAAATAAATTCGGTAAATTCTTTAAAATAAAACGGGGCGTTACAGGCTCCCAATCTCTCGGACCGGTATCCCAATAGGAGCCGGACTCGGATATTTACATACAGGCCCCCGAGTTCGGGTGAGGCCTGCCGTGCCTCTCCCGAGGTCGTCTCTCCTCAGTTGATCCGAGCCGGGTTCACCAGACTCGTATCCGGTCTCTTCCAGGATCGGCACCTGCACTACACTTGGTGCGTGCATATGAACGACAACCGAAGAGACGCCTTAATTGCGACCACACGAGGGCGACACGTGGCAACCAGACAACCAAGTATTTCGAAAGGACGTAACGGTTGGCTGTAAGACGTGACTGTTGGCTTCCTTGGGACGTTTCATCTTTTATATTGAATTTTGAAATTTGTATTTATCCGTTTGTACACGTGCCTGCAGCTCATTGGGCGGTCAGATCTATATATAGGGGACTTTGGCAGGTCCGGAGAACTTTTTAGCAACTTCGAAACTCGTGACTCCAGCACAAGTTCTTCCCGATTTTTCCGGCAGATTACCAGAAAGAAAGAAGCTCTTGACTGCTTTAATTAGATCTTCTTCGAGTAAATCCCAGAATTTCTGATAGAACAGGGCCGTCATCCCGTCTTCTCCTGGTGCTTTCTCTAGATGCATTGAAAACAGCGCTTCTTTGATTTCTTCCTCCTCAACCATGGTCTCAAGCTCAGCATTCATCTCCGATGTTATTGATACTAGGATATTATCTAATAGACCATCTGCTTCTGTGGACCCTTCTGAAGTAAACAAGTTGTTGTAGAAATGGGTCACATGATCTGTAATTTCTTGTGGAGTCTGTAAGATTTGATTCTCTGGTGAAATCAATCTGGTGATCGTGTATGTCCTGCGTCTTTGTGCCATAATTGCATGAAAGAACCGCGTATTCCTGTCGCCCTCACGAAGCCACGTATTTCTCGATTCCTGCTGCTAATGAATTTCTTCTTGGGCATGTAGCTCTTCGAGTTCTCTTCTGATGTGGTCTTTCTCTTCCTAGAACATGTCTCCGGCTTGAGATTTCAGCTCTGTCAATCTCGAGTTTAGATGCAGAATTTTGGTTTGATTGAGCGATCTGAATTTGGAGCTCCATTTTAAAAGAGCCACCCTTGTCTGCTTTACTTTTTCTTTTACTATGAACATGGGAGTTCCCGTTCCCGTAGCCCACCAAACCTTTGTTACCACCTCCGTAATATCTTCTCGCTTTAGCCAGTGTTTGTCAAACTGGAAGCGCTTGCCTCGGCGAACCTCCAAATTTCCTGTGTTGATAACCAACAGCGCGTGGTCTGATGCACTCTTCTCCTCCATAACCGAAGTCACTCGAGGGAAGGACATGAGCCACTCTTGAGATCCAAAAGCTCTGTTTAGTTTGGCTTCAACCCATTCTTCAGCGCACCTATTATTGGTCCATGTAAACTGATATCCATCCAGTCTCACCTCCTCCATCTCCATATTTGAAATGAAATTGTTAAAACCCACATACCGGCTCGTACTTCTATCAACACCTCCTCGCTTTTCTTCTGGTTTCCGGATATCATTCCAATTGCCGGCGATAAACCATTTACTTCCCCATTTCTCTTTTTCCTCCTGCAAGATCCTCCATTGTTCTTCTCGCACTGCTCTGTGTGCACTCATATAACAAAAACATCCCATGTCCCTTCCCCTCCATTTTCTTTAAACTCAACTGCTACAAAGAAGTCCCTGTTATGCAAGGTAATAACTTCCATATTCTTATCCCATAATAGTAGTAGACTCCCTCTTGACCCCACCAGATCCACCATAAAACACTGGTCTTGGTAACCCAGCTTTCTAGTTACTACTTTAACAAAATGCTTAGTGTTCTTGGTTTCTGACATAAAAAATAACACCAGGTGGTGAGTCCTAATCGACTCTCGGATTTGGGAAACTACAGTGGGCCCACCCAGCCCTCTACAATTCCACACCCCAACTTTCATGGTTCACTTGGGTGCCATTCCAGGCTGGCAACCCCCACCTTGCTAATGGATGATTTTCTCTTCTTCTCCTCTAGCATGTCATCTCCCCTCATAATATCTTTGCCTATTAGCTCTTGATTATTTGTTCTGAGCCTTTTATTGCCCTCTTGGTTACTCGTGTCCACTTCTGCAGTAGGTAATCTTCTCAGTCTCCCTTCTCTGTTTCCTTGTCGTCTCCAAGTGGTGAGTTGCCTCTGTACTGTTTGACTTGGTTCGTGATTTGAAGCTTTTTGGGTTGTAAAGTCCCCTTCTTCCTTTGTCTCCATTTCTTCTTCTGTGATAATTAGGTGGGCTTGGATCGATCGAGGTGATATGGTTATTGGTCTGAGCAACTCTTTCGGATCACTGGAGCTGTGGACTATCTCGTGTATGGACTCCTCATTTGCCACTGGCACCATGGACGAGCAGGGGTTAAAATATTTACCATCATCATTTAATTGAAATTGAACTTCTTCTTCTTGTGCTCTTGCTCTACTAGATGAGGTCATGGTGCCTTCTTTGTCTTTATGCTCTTGAGAAGTCTCTTATTGACCTGATTGTCTGGAAGCCGTCTTAAAAACCTCCACCCACTGTTGCCCTTCTATTGCCTTCATCCATTTCTCGTATTGGCCATCTCTTATTTTTCCCTCCTCAATATCCGTAAGTCTCTTACTGCAAATCTGATCCAAATGCCCTATTTTGCCGCAATAGTAGCATAGGTTAACTACTTTTTCATATTTAAACTGAACACAGACAACATCTTCTCCCAACCTGATCTTAGTGCACTTGGGCAGAGCAACTTCTAAATCTGGAGTAGCCTGAATACGGATCATTTTTCCTCCATGGTTGCCTGCACTTGCCACCACCACGTTCTTGACCTTTTTGAAAATCCGTCCAATTTTTAGGCCTACCTCTGCCGTAACCCAGTCCAATGGAACCTGTTCGACTTGCACCAAAATGTTTAATTCCTTGAAACCCCCATGGGAGCTGCACATACCTGGCTTCCATTCTTGAAGAATTAAGAACTGATTATCAAAGCTCCAGTTATAGCCATCTATCGCCCTCCTCATGTCTTCTTTAGATTGAAATATGAACTGGAAAAAATTTGCGCTCAATTCTTTAATCTCCATTGGATGCTGGAGTCTCCATATCCTCGTCATCGTCCTCTTCATGCCAATCCAGCTCGCTCGACGATCCCCTATAATTTTACCAAACAAGCTTCTATGGCATTCGTCCTTGCTTAGGAGGACATCCTCTTCCGCCAGATCGATCACCGCTCCTTCCGCCTCAGACAAGGAAACATTCATGAGTTTGCTCGCAATGTCCTCGTCTACCCCCTTTCTCCCATTTCCAAAGAACCCTAATTTATCTGCCTCCCCTGCTCAATGAAAGCAATGAAATGAAAACAGGCACACTACTCAATATTTCTAGAACCAGAAACCCAAACCTAACTCACTACCCGCTCTCACCGAGAGAATCACGATAAGCTTTCACCAGAAAGACGTTGAGCTCCCACCTGAGAGAATCACGATCTCTATCTTGTTATTGGAAACAAAAAATCTTAATTATTGAAACGACACTTATTATATGAATCTCAATTGCTATTCATCGCCTCCTTATTACTA